CCGCTGGCGAGCGATGGAGTTTGCCACTGGCCTCCGCGGAGGCCCCTCGCTCCACAGCGTGGGAAAGCAGCAAGGGAGGACACAGTATGGGAAGACAGGTGGCAGCACAGCACGAGGGAGCGGAACACGGTAGAGGACGACAGTAAGGGGAGCAACACATGATAATCAATCTTGGCCAGCGACATGGGTAAACGGGGTGGGATAGCAGTACGGGAAAGCCACTTCGGGGGGAAGTTGACAGGTCGGGAATACGGCACGGGAAACCGTGAGGGAAACCGGTATGGGGAGCCAGGATAGGACATCTGTATGAAAGTCCAGTCGGGCAAAGCTATGTAGAAGGGGGAACGTGAGGGGTAACTCGGAGGGGAAGACATTCGGGGAATCAGTGGGATAAAACAGCATGATCATATTGCAGCGGGGAAAACCAGTCGGGGAAACCAGTACGGCAAAGGGGTAAAGGTAACCAACAGGGGAACACAACAGGAGAAAACCGTTTGGGGAGCACAACAGGAGAAAACCGTTTGGGGAGCCAGTTCGGGAACACAGAAGCGGACGCAAAGGGAAAGCCAGAAATGAAACCATTTCGGGAATTGGTCAGGGCTTTTGAAGGGCACCCGACCAGGTGGCAACGCTACGTAGACGTGAATAAGCATCTGACAACATCGCCACGATGAACACATCTTGGAAAATGCCAACAGCGACGCCCACGTCAGAACCGTTTGGTGGTTCATTCCTTCTAGCGTCAGCAGCGTTCGTCAGTGCCGGGCGGTCGCGAGTCGCCTGCGTCTGTGCGGAGTCCGGCTGTCGGCTGGCTTGCGCACGTGCTAGCTCTGCGCCTTTCTTCCCCTGCCCTCTCGCCCACTCGTCCGTGGCCGAGCCGAGACTGCTCGGCAAGCGCGGTCCGTCACCCCCTCTTTCCTGGGCTGTCTCCCCACCCTCGCCCCCTCTTTTTTTGGTTTTGTTTGTCATTTTTTTTCTTATTCTTCTTCTGGGTCAAATATTAGCTCGAAGCGGTTGCGTGCCACCTCATCCTCCTCCCCTCCTGCAAGGCTCCCCTCCTGCAGGGGTGCAGAGCTCCACTCGTGCCCGCCAACTTGCCGGAGGCAGGCTCGGGCTGATCTGCCGAAAGGGCGCCAGGGCGAGGGCCTTGGCGAGAGAGCGGCAGCTGCTGGAGCACGGCCCTCCTTGTGGGAGCCCGCCTCCTCCTCCTCAGGAGGGGAAAAACACGCACAGACACAGTGAATCGTCGATCCCCAGGAAAATATGGGAAAACATGGGAAGTGGGGGGGAAGACAAGAGCCCAGAAAATATGGGGAGATATGGGGAATCCTGCCATTAGTGTGTATTTACTTGTGTGTCCCAGGGCCCCTTCATCCTCCCCTCCTGCAGGTTCGGTCCCTGCTCGGTGTGCCCCGCCGCCGCCTGCCTCCGCCGCCTTCTCTGGGGTCCGGGCCGTGGCCTGAGCGGTGCACAGGACCTGTGCGGAGAGGCAGCGCGCACGCGTCTACACTTTGGCACTGCGGATCTGTGCCGACACCGAGCTCTCCTGCAGGCACAGAGGCCTGTGACTACCAGCAGCGCGACCGCGTCGACATCTCGTGTGTTTTTCTTAACCCTCCCTGTGTTGGGTACTCGTTTTGAATAGAGCACTGTGGTATCCACCTCCCGCCCTCTCCTCCTCCTTCTCTCCTGTGTTCGCGGTGCCCTGCGGGGCTGCGATCTGCGCAACTGTCGCCACTTCGTGGGTTCCTGGGAGGCCCAGCGGAGGTACGTCCTACGCAGATCACTTTGAGGCCTCCCTGTCCCCTGCGGGGCTGCGATCTGCGCAACTGTCGCCACTTTCGTGGGTTCCTGGGAGGCCCAGCGGAGGTACGTCCTACGCAGATCACTTTGAGGCCTCCCTGTCCCCTGCGGGGCTGCGATCTGCGCAACTGTCGCCACTTTCGTGGGTTCCTGGGAGGCCCAGCGGAGGTACGTCCTACGCAGATCACTTTGAGGCCTCCCTGTCCCCTGCGGGGCTGCGATCTGCGCAACTGTCGCCACTTTCGTGGGTTCCTGGGAGGCCCAGCGGAGGTACGTCCTACGCAGATCACTTTGAGGCCTCCCTGTCCCCTGCGGGGCTGCGATCTGCGCGACTGTCGCCACTTTCGTGGGTTCCTGGGAGGCCCAGCGGAGGTACGTCCTACGTACGTCCTACGCAGATCGCTTTGAGGCCTCCCTGTCCCCTGCGGGGCTGCGATCTGCGCAACTGTCGCCATTTTCGTGGGTTCCTGGGAGGCCCAGCGCAGACCACTTTGAGGCCTCCCTGTCCCCTGCGGGGCTGCGATCTGCGCAACGGTCGCCACTTTCGTGGGTTTCTGGGAGGCCCAGCGGAGGTACGTCCTACGCAGATCACTTTGAGGCCTCCCTGTCCCCTGTGGGGCTGCGAATTTTCGCAACTGTCGCCACTTTCGTGGGTTCCTGGGAGGCCCAGCGGAGGTACGTCTTACGCAGACCACTTTGATGCCTCCCTGTCCCCTGCGGGGCTGCGATCTGCGCAACTGTCGCCACTTTCGTGGGTTCCTGGGAGGCCCAGCGGAGGTACGTCCTACGCAGACCGCTTTGAGGCCTCCCTGTCCCCTTGGCGCACCTGGCGCGCACCTGGCGCACCTGGCGCGCACCTGGCGCGCTGGGCGCACCTGACGCACCTGACGCGCTGGGCGCACCTGGCGCGCACCTGGCGCACGAGAAGAACATGCCAGAATCCTGTAAGAACGAAGGACAATCAATGATTTTGGCCCTTTCGGGCCTTCCTGGAGGACGTCTTGGAGGCCTCTTGGGGGGTCTTGGAGGCTTCTGGCGGGCCTATAGGGCCGTCTGAGGCCATCTTGAGGCCATTTTGAGCCGTTTTGGGTGCATCTTTGGGCCATCTTAGCCGTCTTGACGGCCATCTTGGGCGTGTTGGGGGCATTTTGGATGCCATCTTGGCCATCTTGGAGGCTATCTTGGGCATCTTGGGGGCCTCTTGGGCTGTCTTGGGGCCTTTTAGGGCCCCCTTCGGCTGTCTTGGGGTCATCTTGGATGCCTCTTGGGCTGTCTTGGGTCGATGTTGGGGGCCGCTTGGGCCGTCTTGGGCCGTCGGAGAGTTGAAAAGGAGCAACATGCCAACATCTTCCAACAACATGAGGCAAATTGATGATTTTCACCATGCCGGGCCTTCCTGGAGGACGTCTTGGAGGGCTCTTGGGCCATCTTGGAGGCCTCTTGCGGGCCTATAGGGCCGTCATAGGCCACTTTGAGGCCACCTTGGGTCGTCTTGGGTGCATCTTGGGGCCATCTTGGCCGTCTTGGAGGCCATCTTGGTCGTCTTGGAGGCATCCTGGAGGCCATCCTGGGCCATCTTGGAGGCCATCTGGGGCTTCTTGGGGGCCTCTTGGGCAGTCTTTGGGGCCTCTTGGGCCGTCATGGGGCCATCTTGGAGGCCTCTATGGCGATCTTGGGGCGACCTTGGGGGCCTCTTGGGCCGCCTGGGGCCGTCGGAAGGCCGAAACGGCGCAAATCCCAACATCTTTCGAACACCAATGCGCATCAATGTTTTTGGTCTTTTCGGGTCTTTCTGGAGGACCTCTTGGAGGCCTCTTGGGCCGTTTTGGAGGCATCTTGGATGCCTCTTGGAAGCCTCTTAGGCCGTCTTGGGCCATCTTGAGGCTATCTTAGGCCGTCTTGGGTGCATCTTGGGCCGTCTTGGAGGCGTCTTGAGGCCATCTTAGCCGTCTTGGAGGCCATCTTGGCCGTCTTGGAGGCATCTTGGAAGCTATCTTGGGCCATCTTGAGCGAAGAAGCCGATGAGACAGGTAGCTGGCGGGACGGGCCGAAGCCCCAGGGGGAGTTCTTTTGGACAAAGAACCAAAACCAGAACGTAAGAACACCAGCGCGCCATGCACCCCTGTGATGAATCAACAGGGGGCGGCGGATCGAAGACGCCTACGGCGAATCACCGCCGCTTCCTGCCTTTTTGGAAGCGCCTAAGTGGCCGAACGTTGAGGCCAGACCTGCCAAGCTATCGGACCATGTTTTCCCCGAGTCGGTTTGGAAAGCCTTCGGGGAACACGTGGGCATCTTGAAGGTCATCTTGGCCGCCTGGAGGCCATTTTGACCCTTTCGGGCCTTCTTTGGGGACGTCTTGGAGGGCTCTTGGGCCGTCTTGGAGGCCATCTTGAGTGTCTTGGAGGCCTCTTGGGCCGCCTTGGGGCGATCTTTGGGAGCACTTGCGCCGTCTCGGGCCGTCGGAAGGCCGACGATCCTTCAAAAACTCATGGGAAATCAATCATTTTGGCCTTTTCGGGCCTTCCTGGATGCCCTCTTGGAGGCCTCTTGGGCCGTCTTGGGCCATCTTAGTGCCATCTTCGGCCGTCTTGGTGGGCCCCTGGCCCGTCCGACGCCGTCGGAAGCCGTTTGGGGGGCCTCTCTGAGCCGACTTGGGGCCCTCTTGGAATGCTCCAGGGCCGTCTTGGAGGCCATCTTGGACGTCTTAAAAGCCTCCTGGGCTGTCTTGGGGGCCTCTTGGGGCCGTCTTGGGGGCCTCTTGGGTCGTTCTGGGGCCATCTTGGAGGCATCTTGGGCGATCTTTGGGCGATCTTTGGGGACTCTTGTGCCGTATCGGGCCGTCGGAAGGCCGAAAAGAAGCACCTATCAACATCATTCAAACACCTAGGGAAAGTAAGTGTTTTTGGCCTTTTCTGGCCTTCCTGGAGGCCCTCTTGGAGGCCTCTTGGGTCGTCTTGGGCCAGCTTCGAACCAACTTCGGCCGTCTTGGTGGGCTCCTGGCCCGTCCGACGCCGTCGGAAGCCGTTTGGGGGGCCTGTCTGGGTCGATTTGGGGCCTCTCGGGGTGCTCCAGGGCAGTCTTAGAGGCCATCTTGGGCGTCTTGGAGGCCTCGTGGGTCGTCTTTGTGCCCTATTGGGGCCGTCTTGGGGGCCTCTTGGGCAGTCCTGAGGCCACCTTGGGGGCCTCTTGGGCGCTGTGGGGGCGATCTTGGGGGCCTCTTGGGCAGTCTGGGGCCGTCGGAAAGCCGAGAATAATCGCGTGCCAGAATCCTTCAAAAACCTAATGAAAATCAATGACTTTGGCCTCTTCGGGCCCTCCTGGAGGACCTCTTGGAGGCTGTCTTGGAGGCCTCTTGGGGGCCTCTTGGGCCGTCTTGGGCCATCTTGAGGCCATCTGAGGCCGTCTTGGGTGCATCTTGGGCCGTCTTGGAGGCATCTTGGGGCCATCTTAGCCGTCTTGGAGGCCATCTTGGGCCGTCTTGGAGCCGTTTGGAGCAGGAAATACGCTTTGCAATCACCTCTGGGCAATCCTCCCGGGACCCCAGCGGGACGCGTCGGAGCCCCAGGGGGAGTTCTCTTGGGAAAAGAACCAAAACCAACACCGAATCGTGTAGCACGCCAGGCACCCCTGCGATGAATCGACAGGGGGCGGCGGATCTAGTTGCGATCGGCCCATCCCGCCACCGTGCCTGGGTTGGTTAGAGGCTTGCATTGTCGGTTCGTGTTCCCCTCTTAGGGCAGTTTTGGGGCAGTTTTGGGGCCCTCTCGGGCGATCTTCGGCGCCTCTTAGGCCGTTTTGGTGCCGTCTTGTGCCGTCTTGGGGCCCCGTTCGGGGCCCCTTCGGCCGTCGCGGGGCGTTTTTTTGGGCCCCTGGGGCCGTCTTGGGGCGTCGGAAACCAGGAAACAGAAATGAGAACGCGACGCGCATCGCAGCACAGAGCGCACATCAATGATTCTTGCCATTTTGGGCCCTCTTGGGGGGTCCTCTTGGAGCGCAATTGGGGCTTCTTTCGGGCCTCTTGAGCCGTCTTGGGGCCGTCTTGGGCGTCTTGGAGCGCTTTTGGGCTGTGTTGGAGGAGCTTGGGGGTAACAAACCTGGTGGGGAGGATGACGATGATGATGATGATGATGATGATTCTGATGATGATTCGGATGATGATGATGATGATGATGATGATGATGATGATGATGATGATGATGATGATGATGATGATGATGATGATGATGATGATGATGATGATGATGATGATGATGCTAATGATGATGATGATTACGATGATGCTGCTGCTGATGATGATGCTGATGCTTCTGCTTCTGATGAGTGTGATGTTGATGCTGATGCTGATGACAGATGATGATGCTGCTGATGATGATGATGATTATGATGATGATGATGATGATGATGATGAGTATGATGATGCTGCTGGCGACGATGATGATGACGAGGATGATGCGGATGACGAGGATGATGAGGAAGCTGAGGATGATGCAGATGATGATGCTGCTGATGATGATGACGGTTATGATGAAGACGATGTTGATGATGACAATGGTAGTATGAGTGATGCTGACGACGATGATGACGATGGGTGATGACGACGGCGACGATTCTGACGATGGTGATGATGATGATGATGATGATGACGAAGACGACAAGGGCGATGACGATGAGGATGAGGATGATGATGCTGCTTATGATGATGACGATGATTATGATGATGTTGAGGAGGATTATGATGAGGATGTTCGTGATACTGATTATCATTATCATGAAGAAGTTTGTGGTGGTGATGAGGACGGAGAGAGTATGGACGATGATGCTTCTGCTTCTGATGATTGTGATGCTGATGATGATGACGATGACGATGATGATTATAATGATGATGACAAGGGCGACGATTCTGATGATGATGATGCTGATGCTGATGATGATGATGATGATGATGATGATGATGACGAAGACGGCAACTGCGATGATGAGGATGAGGATGATGATGCTGTTGATGATGATGGTGATGATGATGTTGATGATAATGATGTGGAGGATTATGATGACAATGATGATGAGGATGAGGCTGATGATGATGATGGCGGTGGGGGTTCTGGTGATGATGGTGATGATGATGATGATGATGCTGCTGATGATGATGATGTCAGGCTGATGATGCTGATGATGCTGATGCTGATGATGATGATGGTGATGTTGAGGCTGATGATGCTGCTGCTGCTGATGATGCTGATGCTGATGATGATGATGCTGCTTCTGCTGCTGCTGATGATGATGCTGCTGATGATGAGGATGAGGATGAGGATTATCATGAGGATGATGATGATTATTCTGATGATGATGATGATGATGACGATGGTGGTGGTGATGATGATGGTGGTGACGATGGTGATGATGACGATGATGATGACGATGATGATGCTGATGATGCTGATGCTGATGCTGATGATGATGATGATGATGATGATGATGATGATGATGATGATGATAATGAATGTTGTTGATGAGGATGATGCTGATGATGATGCTGATGCTGATGATTATGATGCTGATGATGATGATGATGATGATGATGATGATGATGATGCGCTGCTGCTGCTGATGATGATGATGATGATGATGATGCTGATGCTGATGATGATGATGCTGATGCTGATGCTGATAATGATGATGATTATGATGATGATGCTGATGCTGATGCTGATGCTGATGCTTATGCTGCTGATGATGATGATGATGATGATGATGATGATGATGATGATGATGATGATGATGATGATGACGATGATGATGATGATGATGATGATGATGATGATGATGGCTGCTGCTGCTGCTGCTGCTGCTGCTGCTGCTGATGATGATGATGATGATGATGATGATGATGATGATGATGATGATGATGATGATGATGATGATGATGATGATGATGATGATGATGATGATGATTATGATGAGGAGGCAGGAGCTCCTCTTTCGTCGCCACCCTCATTTTTTCTTCGCCTCTCCCCGCCGCTCCTCTCCCTCCGCCCCCTCCCTGCCCCCCCCCCCCCCCCCCCCACGTAGACCGGCTCCTCCCGCCCCCCGCCCCGAGGACAGCCTGTGGAAGGTGACCCCCGTGAAGGCGGGAGCCCGCCTCGCTGGGGTTGCTTCTCGATCCTCCCCCTCCTCCTCCTGCCACCTCCTCCTCCTCCTCCCCTCCACTCCTCCTCCTCCTCCCTCCCCTCCCCCTCCCCCTCCCCCTCCCTCCCCCTCCTCCTCCCCTCCTCCTCCTCCTCCTCCTCCTCCTCCTCCTCCTCCTCCTCCTCCTCCTCGCCTCGTTGGGGCTCACGTGACGGTGTCAGCGCTAAGGGGGGTCAGCCAATCCCCTCCGAGATTTCCTGGCCGACCTGGGTTTGGGAGCCACCCGGGGACGATCCCGCTCCCGGGATAGAATGCTCCCGGGTCAGTGCGTCCCCGAGGTGGGACAGGACTCGAGGCGTTCCAGGAAGGGTCTCGCCTTCGAGGGTTGACGGGGTTGGCATCTCTTTTTCGGCGGAAGGCGGAGGAAGGTCGGCGGAAGGCGGCGGAGGGAAAATGAGGGCGACTCCTCCGGCGGAAGCTCGGCGGAAGCAGGCGGAAGTAAGAGATGCGCCCCCAAGAGATGGCAACTTTTTTGGTTTCAGGGAGAACCCCCCACGTGATGGGGCGGCCCAGGCATCCAACGTCTGGACAAAAATCACGGTTTTTCACCGTTTTCGGCCTCCTGGGGGGGCCCTCGCCGGGCTCCGGGTCCGGCAAGGAAGGGCGCACGATGGAAAGCCGGCCCGGGGGAAAGGTGGGGGCTTCTGGGATCCCGTGTTTCCAAGATCGGCGGAAGGGGCCCGCTCCCGACCCGCCGACCAAAAAAGTTTTCAAGGTCGGGGCATCGGATGATGGGGGAGGTGGGGCGGGACGTGGTGGGATGCCGTTGCCCTCCCACCTTGGTCCCCCGCCGTCGTTCTGCTGCCTCCCGCTGCCCCGCCGACCCGCCCTCGCGTCGGGGGGCGCCGGCAGTGTGCACCTGCACCGACCATGGCCTGGAAGGGAAAAACGCGGCACAATTAATCGTCGACTCCCAGGAAAGTATGGGAAGATATGGGAAGTGGGGGGGGAAGACGAGATTCCAGAAGGGATGGGGAAATGTGGTGAATATTGGGATGTGTGTCTATTTTTTTGTGTGTCCCTGGGCCCCTCTGCACGGCTGGGTCGATCCTGAGCTCAGGATCGGCGCGCGTGCCTCCGTGGCCCAGCCAGGAGGGCCTGGGCGCACGCGGTCGGGCCGACCAGGACCGGCTGCTCGTTCTCTCGTTCTTCTGGGATGGGGGCGGGTGGGGATTTCGATGACGCGCATCGCGTGGCCGGATGGGAGTTCGGAGGATGGAATGGGAGGGGGAGGGGGGGGAGTGGGGGGGATGGGAAGGGATGGGAAGGTTTCGGAGGGAAGGGGAAGGGAAGGGGGCAGAGGAGGAGGAGGAGGAGGAGGAGAAGGAGGAGGAGGAGGAGGACGAGCGAGGAGGGGGAGGAGGACCCATCAACGACGTTGCAATAAACCCTCCCTCCAAGTTCCATCTTCATAGGTCCCTACAGGGATTCACTGTCACTGAGGGAAGACCCCCTGCAAAGACAGCCGCTTGAAAAGCCTGAACCGTGCCAGAACACCAGTCCTGGGACTTCAACGCCGCGAATCAACATTACTTTTGCGCCCTGACGATCCTGAATCGTGCCAGAACACCATTCTTGGGATGTCAACACCGCGAATCAACGTAACGGTTGCTCCCTGACAGCCTTGCATCATGTTATAATCACCGTTTTTGGGACGTCAGCTATAATCATCATTGAGCCTGTTGTGAACTCTTAAGACGAATGTTCGCAGTGCTAAGACGATACTCACATTTTGAAGAGGTAGCGCCCTCAATCCGTGAAAGACTTGCAAACTTTTGGGGCGAAGGTGCGTGGCGCTAAGGAGAGAGCCACATTTTGAAAATTACCCGCCGTCCATCCGTGAATATGTTGCAAGTTTTTATCACGAAAGTGGGCGGCGCTTAGGCGAGAGCCGCATTTTGAAAATGGCCCGCCCTCCATCTGTGAAGCTGTTGCAAACTTTGAGGGCACGTTTGCGCGGCGCTGATGCGAGAGCCACATTTTGAGAACCACCCGCCCCCCATCCGTGAACTGTTGAAACTGTTGAGCTTCAGGAGCATGGGTGGTGAGGAAGTCTCGGGCGAAGCGCCCAGCCCGCCCTACCGACACGCCTCGGGGCGCGACAGGGAGGAGTTAATTGATAAGGAGAGCGGATAGGGGAGGATGAGCAGGAGGAGGAGGAGGAGGGGGAGAGTGCGCGGGAGGAGACGGGGAGGGGAATGTGGGACAGGGTGGAGAGGGGAAGGCAGAGGAAGACGTGGCACGCTATTTCTCTCGCTTCGCGCAGTGCCCGTCCTGAGCGACACTCTGGACGTTGCGGGGCTTCTTGGTGGCCTCTCGGAAGCCTCGTGTGCGTGTGCGTGTGCGTGTGCGTGTGCGTGTGTGTGTGTGTGTGTGTGTGTGTGTGTGTGTGTGTTTGTGTGTGTGTATGTGTGTGTGTGTGTGTCTGTGTGTGTGTGTGTGTGTGTGTGTCTGTGTGTGTGGTGTGTGAGAGAGTGACTATAACAGGTCTGCCGTGCTGGTCTGCCGTGCTGATTTGCTGGAGGCCCTCTTGGGGTGCTCTTGGGACCTGTTGAGTTGTCCTGGGGGTCTCCATAGCCGTCTTGAGGCCATCTTGGGCCGACTTGCACCCCTCGTGGCTGTCTTGGGGGTACTCTTTGGGCCCTCTTCGGTCGTCTTTGGGCCCTCTTTAGCCGGCATGTGGCCGCCTTAGGGGCCTCTTCGTCCATCTAGAGGCCCTTTCGGTACCCACCCTCTTGGGAGCGTTTCGTGCCGTTTTTGGTTTCCTTGAAGTTTTTGGTAGGATTGAAAATCAAGTCCAAGAGGGGCGACCACCCAGAGGTCGGCGGATGTGGCTTGGCGCCGGTGGGGGAACCTGGCTCCCGCAGCACGTCGCTTTCGGACGTGGGTTCCTCTCGCCTCGCGGGGAACACGTCTGGAACCCGTAAACTGTGTGAACGTTGCGATTGAATTTTATGGCAGGGAGGTGATGAGGAGGCCTTTTGGAGGTCTCTTGGGGCCTGTTGCGGGGCTTGGGGATGTTTCTTGTAGGCCCCGGGGTTGCCTCTTGGGGGCCTCTTGAAGGCTTCTCGGGGGCATCTCGGAGGTCTTGTGCCATTTTGGGGGGTCGAGAACTCCTGGGCCCCTTCGACTTCCCCATATTGGACCTCCTCTTGGCGCCTCATTTTGGGGCTTCTTGGGCCGTCCTGGGTGGGGGCCTTCTGGGCCGTTTTGTGGGCCTCTTGGGTCCCCTGTGGGCCGTCTTGGGGGCCTCTGTGGCCCCCAGTGGGCCGTCTTGGGGCTCTCTTGGGCCAGTTCTGGGGTGCCCCTTGGGCCGTCTCGGTCTCTCAGAGGCCCGAAAACGAACATGTGTGTTGTAGCACACAATGACTTTTCGGGCCCTGGTCCTCTCACTTCCCCTCTTCCCCGCCTTCGTATCGGTCGGCGGGGGGGAGGGGCGGGGGCGGTGCAAAGTGAGGTGGGGCCGTCCTACAGATAACGCGTTATATTTGTGTTCTCCGCTCAAGTTCTTTTGCTCGAGCATGCTCGCGGGGAGTCCCGCGACCGAGCCCGAGGTTTTCTTCATCGCCCCCCCGCGCGGCAGCAGTGCGGGCCATTCGAGCTGCTCGACTGGCTCCTCGTGGGAACTGATCGATGCGGCTCCTTCTTCGAGGGACAGGCGCCCGACCTGCCGGACGGCGCGCGAGAGGGCGCCAGCGAGACGGCGCGTCCTGGCTGCGGTTCGCTCGGGCTGCTGCTGTGGTCGCTCTTTACTCTGGTGAGCGACCCGATCGTGGACCTCGGGGGTGACGAGGAGCTGGACCTGTTTGAGGCTCAGATTCCAGTTGAGCCATGGTCGCGCAGGTTCTGCCGCCAGACGGCGACCGACGGAGTGGAGTTGCAGCTGGTGAGGCGCAAGAGCGGCAACATGCCGTGCTCACCCCAGACTCGGGGCTCGGCCTGATTTGCATCACCGCGAAGGCGTCCATCTTCGCGGACCCAGTGTCCGGGATTCGCTGAAGGCCGATGCCGCCCCTGAGCGCGTCCCAGCGAGATGCCTATTTCAGCCAGGCGACGGGGGGCTTTCGTGCGGGGATGGTGCCGACGCTCCCACTCTACCGCCCGGGTCGTGCTGGTCAGCAGGCGATTGCGGTGAATGTGCTGTGCGCCCTGTTCACTTTTGGGGCGTCTTCTCTCAAGATTTTGAGGTGGTCTTTGAGGAGTCCGAGGCGTTTCCAGGGTATGTTGGCCGCCCTGTTCGTGTTGTGCGAGGCGCTGGCGCTGTTCGGGGTGATCGAGTACATGAAGGAGGTGTGGGTGGCGTCGGTGAGGTACCTGGTCGCGGCGAAGGATGCGTTCGTGGAGAGTTCGGACGTTGTGCAGGAGTGGCTGAACTTTCTCATGGAGTGGAAGGAGTGGGCTCAGAAGCTCATGCCGTTGCAGCGCTGGCTGGCCTTGCTGGTGGCGATGGTGCTCCTCGCGGGCTGGGCGGCGCGCGAGTGGTCGGACCACGCTTAGCCGGGAGAGTGTTGATTTGATCATCTTCGTCTTCGAGCGTGGACGTGTCCGTTGGGCGCGTATCGACCATGCAGCCGCCTTTGCCGCCGCCCTTGCAGTCTCCTGGTGTTGTTTCGGCGGCGTTTGCCGCCCAGCTGAGCGACCTTGCAGGGTCCCAGAAGGCCACGAAGGAATATATCATCGAAATGAGGACGGCGGAGCGGACCAGGGAGTTACGTCCTGGCGTGCTGGAGTCCTCTCTCGAGTCGAGAGATCGTTCGGCGGTCGAGGCCAACCGGCAGGTGATCGAGGGAGGGCATGATCGCTCGTGTGGACAAGGTCGAGGCGCGCCTGAAGGGGGAGGTTCCTGCCGAGGCGAGTGTTGGCGAGCGGGCTGCTGCTATCGAGGGGTCGGGTGCTGCGTCGTCGGGCGTGGCGACTGCGGGCTCTCCGACCAAGACGTCA